GTGTGTGTGTGTGTGTGTGTGTGTGTGTGTGTGTGTGTGTGTGTGTGTGTGTGGTATATTTACCACAAATCATCTCTCTAAAATAGCATCAGTGATTTTTTTTGACACAGAGAATACCATCATCATCATCATCATCCTCGGTCTCAATCGATGTGCCATGCAACATGATATTCCACTCAGAGCTCAGAAATAGAGTCAGTCGCTCGTATTTTTAGCACCAGGGTGAGCTCGTCGTAGCTAATATAGTTTTTCCAGACACAGCAACATCRGAGCGACACCATGAAACCGAAAACCTGAGGGACGAAACTGTATGAAAGAATGAATGAAGTGTTGAGGAGAGCCAACGTTTTATCAGAGCATCGCTTCTTACCTGCTGAACCCCAATTCAAATGAACTCTTTACAGAAATAAAATGAATCTAAAGCAGAATGAGCTACGTGTGTTTATTCTGTCAATTAGATAATTTATTGGTTTTAGTTACCCGGTTATGTAAAACAAAAATGTGTTTTAACATTATTTAACATCATAATGATGCAATGATTACCTTGACTTGAACAAAAGCTTTTCATTGACTTGGAGCTCCAGYGAATAAACCTTTATGTGTTTCTGATTCGTTTCTTTGTCTGAGAAAAGCTGCTCTGACCTTCCAATTTAATATATTTTTTTCTTTCTAAAGTCCTTAGAATGACTCACATCATCCTTTCTATCTTTACAGATGAAAACAGGATGCTGCACACTTTAATCATTTTATATTTCTTAATATTGCCAAAGGAGGGTTGAGTCTATATCAGGGAATTAGAGGACATGGTGGTGSGGTTGCCATGGATTCAAACAGCACATGAAGCAGAAAAACAAAAAGCTTGGCCGGCTCGTATCTCTCCCGTTTGTCCGTGAGGCAGGGAAGCGTCACAGTCACCCTGTCAGGAATAAAACAGCCAAACATCGGACACTTGTTTCTCCTCTGCAGTGTGTTTCCTCTGATCAGCGGGGAAAAATGGGCAAGAATGGTTTTTGCCCGTCTCTGTGTTTGGAATACTTCTACAGTAGATTAACTTTTAAGTCGACTTGACTCAAGATGGCCGACAAAGCCAACTGAGCTCCAAACACCCAAATTTGTTATAATTCAGTTAATTTCCTAGATAAGATAAGATAAGATAAGATAAGATAAGATAAGATAAGATAAGATAGAACTTTACTGATCCCACAGTGGGGAAATTTGAACATTACAGCAGCTCAAAACAGTGGAGTTGCAGAAACAGGCTGCCTGCCGTGGCGCCAACTTAGAAACAAAGAAAAACTGAAAAACACAAGGGCAGGGAATATGAGGAAAAAAGCAAAAACATATATCAACACTGTGACACACCATGGTGTTTATGAAAAAACCCTCTGCATAGAGCAAGTTTATTAGCCAGAGGAGTTAGTGAGTTTAAGGGGGCCAGAAGAATCCAGTCCCCAAAACCAGTGCAGCCATAGTTCAGAAATATTGATGGAAACTGTTCATTTCTGTGCAGCTTTCAGCCAGCTCTGGAAAACAGAATTAGAAAGGTGAGAGGAGGGGGGAAGGTGGGGGGTAGAGCCTTGTCGACACATCCAGCCAGGAAGAATTTCGTCAACAGATCCAAGGTCGTTGTCGGGGAGATCCAGATTCTGTAATCAGTTGTTTTGGGAGCAGAAGAGACAAGCAGACGACAACAATTTTCCATCTGCTTTAGAGTTTCTGCTGGTACTCTCAAGGTGGCGATTCCAAATAGTGTGGACAAACTCCACTGAGCCGAAATCTATCAGCTTCCTCCCAGTTCAATT